CTGCAAGGTTGACTGCAAAGGGACCATGAGGGGACTTGTGGGGTAACGGGACTCTTCTTGTGTCTTTATTGTGGGGGTGGTTTGCAGCTGTCATCTGTAAAATGTACGGTGGTAAAACTCAAAGATTGGAACTTCAGGAATTGAGCATCACAGCTCTGTAAACCCAACTCAAAAACTGCCTAGATATTTAATCAAAGACAGTTCATCTACACTGGGGTAGCTGGTAAATTGTAAGTGTTCACATCCAGGCTTTGTATTAGCCTTTGGGGATGAAATAGAAAAACACCTTTTTAAAAATGATACATTTATTTAATAGAAGCTCAGTATATGTTTAATGAAAGTTAAAATTAACTGAAATTTCTTTACACATAAAATAAGGGATCTCGAGCAGCAAAGAAATTTTAATCTGCCATAGTGATATTTTCATTTTGTACTTGTGATAAGTGAAGGAATTGAAGATGAGTTCTGAAATGAACAATTCTGAAGGCAGAATTTCCTGCAGGATGGAAAAGAAGCAATTATCTTTCTAATTGCCTTTTTAGGATGAGAAAGTGGGCAGCAGCAATGGAATCAGAGTCTGGGTTAGTCACACAATACTCTCTTGCTTTTTGGTGGGAGGAAGCGCTGGACCCTGTTGATATTCGCAGACATGGCTTCATGAATTTGACTCACACGCCACTCTCCAGCCATGGACGCAGCTGCATTTTCTCCTTGGCGGCCTCCTCTCCCGCCCCTCCTCCATGGCCACCTCACTTAGTGGCTGAGGTTCCCATCTGGAGAGCCTGTTGCCACAGGATACAGAGTCCACTGGGAAAGAGGGAAAGCTTGTGTGTGGTTAGGCTTGGCTGGTGGCTCGTGTAATCAGGGAAACCATGTAGAAAGCTTGCTCATTCGTGTGCAAGAGCCTGGGTTGTAGCGAAGTGATAGCAGGCTGTGGGCCGTGGGCCCTGACATTGTGCCTGAGGCCTGCGGCATTTGCTGTTGTGATCCTGAGTACTGGCGAGTGTGGCCACCTCTGTTGTTCAGCAATAATGAGATGTGCATTGGCACCCAGGGAAGAACAGCCATAGCCCGGGTTTTTCTTGTTTTCCATGAAATGGTTCAATTGGTCACAGCTAACTGGCAGTCGCTGTCTGGTGTTTTCCCTTTTACTCTCAATCCCTTAAAGGACTTCTCTTCCCGTCTAAGAAATCTGAGGTGACCAGGCTTTGGGATCCGTGTCTTCTTGGCGGACTGTGACCCCCGCTCTGCTGCTGCCTTGGTGCTGCCCACCTTGAGTGAGCGCAGGAGCAGGTGACTGCCCAGCACTTCCAGATGCAGCCTGGGGAGGGAACCCGAAGCTTCTCGGTTCCTGCAATTGGCTCCACCATGGTTTGAGCCTCTAGAAAGCTCTGGAAACCCCAGTTAGCACTGGGACCAGAAATCTCTTCTGCCGCGGGCACAAGCTTTAGAACCAGAGTGGGAACTTGACAGCACACTTCTTCCATCCCCCCTTTGTATTCATCGCTCCTTCCTCTCGGAAATACACGGCCGCAGACCTGAGCTACAGCCTCTCTCCCGCCTTCTGGGGCACAGCAGTGGAGGTGGTATTTGAGTTTCATTTCTCCAGCTTTCCTAATGCTCACAGTTTGCCTTCAGCTATAGTAAAGCTTCTGCAGAGATGTGGCCTCAGCTAATGGCACCAGATGGAGAAGGGCGTCCTATAGTGGCGTCTGTAATCTGCCAGTCTAGAGCTGGAGCGAGCAAAGGTCAGTCTGTTTGCAGGCCAGTTGGGAATCGGTGTGCTGGCCAGCAGTCTACAGGGTCATCTAGGTGAGGCCCATTCCAGAGTCTGACCTGCCCCTAGCAAGGATCCGCACCGAGCTGCTCGTGAAATTGGCTGAGGAATTTCTCTCGTACATTCAAACGTGGTTCTTTTTAGCCTAGTGTGACTCCTTCGTGTTCTAGAAGTTGTGCTCTAATTTATTTCCTTCCTTCCTTCCTTCCTTCCTTCCTTCCTTCCTTCCTTCCTTCCTTCCTTCCTTCCTTCCTTCCTTCTTTCCTTCCTTTCACTTTTTTTCTTTTTAGTTTTAAACACTGATAGGGCCTAGAAAGGGGTTCACTTGCTGCCTATTTGGGAAAGACTAGGATTGCACTTTGGGCAACATATTTTGTAATATGTGTATTATATTACTGTTTCTGGAAGTGGTATGATGTGGCAGTTAGTTAAAAGTGTCCTGGGCATTTGTGATGTATAAGGACTGTTAAGCCTTACAGTCCAGAGGTCTCACTGACCTGACCTCCCTAGGAGCTGCTTGGCAACTCCAGCTGGTTAAATGAGATACCTGAGAGGTCATCATGGGTAATGCTTCTTTTAGGCTTTTAAAAGCAGCATGAAACAGAAATATTTCCCTTTGCTTCTAGCCATTAGCCTTAGAATGTTAGCGAACAACTTGAAATAAATTTTAATTTGAGCTATAAAGGTCCATAGCTAGGGTCCCACCATCAATCTTGAAAGTCTCAAAATTGCTTGCTAACCATGAATAAGAAAAAAGCTGTTTGCTTGGATGTGGCCATGAATAAAGCTACTGATGTGGTTTAAAGTCTGCCAACAATAGCAAAAAAAGCTATAACCTCTGGCCATCCAAGATGTCTAAGGCAGGAGATTCGCTTTAAAGTGCTCTTGGGTAAAAGAGATAGCTGACATTTTTTATCTGTTTTAAAATGAAAAATAGACTGAACCACCGAAGCCACAAACCCTGCACCTAGCAATCCCTTTGGGCCATGCCCTCCTTTTATTATTTATTAGGGACGTGTATAACGAGGCTAGACTGCTCCAGGCAAAGGAGTCACCATTCTTTACATGTACAGTAGGTGTTACCAGGATAATAGTGTACATAATTATGTAGCATTTAATAAATGTCTTGATTGAAGCTCTGCTTTCATTTCCTGAAAACCAGTATGGGCTAAAACATGTCAGGCACCAAGGAATCATGTGGTGTAAGTGGGTCCCAGTGTGCCCCATAAGTTTCTACCAAAGAGGGAACATGGTCATCGTTGAGACAGTACACCTGTTCTTTCTTTGTTTTTCTTTGTTTTTAAAAATTAAAGTTGACTAAGGTGTAGCTCAGTAGCAGAGGCTTCACGTGGCTTGTGTACTGTACTCCTTAAAATTCAATAAAAATAAAAGTGACTATTAATTGACTACATTTTAGATCGCAATTTTTTTTCTCAGAGTAACAAGGAGAGGGTCTCAAGTACTTAACTGTTGATTTGAAAATGTGACCGAACATGTGGAATACTAAAATGTTTTATTTCTGTGCAAAGGATTGTCTAGGGTGGGCTGTACATTACCTGTCTAAGGCCAGATCAGTGCCAACCTGAATTTAATTTGACATTTCTGTTTTCCTCATTTTTAAAAGAGCTAATTTTACAAAGAAAACTAGAATAAGAAACATTTTCATGCCAAATCTAAGATAGATAGATAGGTAGGTAGATGATAGATAGATGATGGATGATGGATGGATGGATGGATGGATGGATGGATGGATGGATGGATGGATGGATGGATGGATGGATGGATGGATGGACAGGCAGATGGATGGATGGATAGATGAAACAAACTATGTAAATGTGGTGATACATGACTTTAGCACTCCAGAGGCAGAGGCAGGAAGATCATGAAATCAAAGTCAACCTGTGCTTCGTGACAAGATGCTCCCTGTCTCAAAAAAGGGTGTTGGAGAGAGCAACATGACTCCAAGCCTGTAAAACAAGTTCAGGTTCATTTTTGGCATGTCTTTCCCCAGAGCCCTAACAACCCAAATTAAACACTATCCTGTCCCCCCTCTCCAAAGGCACATGGCTGGAACTAGCTGGTGGGACACTGAAGAACCACCTCTAAGACAGTATCAGCATGTGCCCGTGGCTCTTAAAATGGCAGAAGTCTTTACCGCCAAGTTTCTGCCTCTTCTGTCTTTTTTTTTTTTTTTTTTTTTTTTTTAAATAAGAGTTTAACCTTTGTGGGGCCCAGAGACTAGCCTGCTTTCTGAGAGCTTAAAGAAAATGTAGGGCTTTCTGTTGTCTGAGTAGGATGTATGAAGTTCTGTCTTAGTGAAAACAGATAAACATTTAGACATGCCCAGATAATCCCACCTCCTCCGCAGCCCTGGGGAGAGAAGCGCCATCCAGCCCAGGCACTAGCCACATGTGAGGACTCAGGCCACAGCATCATCCGGGAACCAGTCCTCCCAGTGACTCCATTTCAGGAGCCTGTGACCTAGGCCCGTGAGGGTTGCTGTGGGGAGAAGAGGGAATGGACTGAGGGGCCACCGTGGTGCTGTGAAGAAGGCAGGAGGGTATGGTTCCCGAAGGACCTGAATGTGAGATCGGGGTCAGCTTTTAATTTGTTTGTTTTCTTGATTCAGTAGTATTCCAGTTGTTCCTGAATATACAAGAAATGCTGGTATAACTCAAAGCTGATTTCCCTCAGTTCTGTGCTGTTCTGGTTTTCTTTTCTTTGTCTGTTTTACTTCATTTTCAGAGTATCCACTTGAGTTTCATACATCCCTTCTGATGAGCTATGTATTAGCATAATGTTGTGATTAATATTTCCCCAAATAATTTCCATAAATCTCATATTAAAGCAAGATGTTGAGGCAAGGGGTATTAAATGATTGATAAAGCTGTGCTTTTTTTGTGACACACACCTTTAGTCACAGCACTTGGGAGGTAGAGGCTGATCTGTGAGTTCTAGGCCAGCCAGGACTACAAAGAGACCCTGTCTTAAAACAAATAAATAGGTTTATATTTTTCTTTTTTATTATTTTGCCTTTTCTTTCCATTTCAGAATTATAGTTAAGAGTTTCAACTTCAAGTTTTTTTAGTTGTAAATTCTCATGACTTTTGATCACGTTGACTGCACCAATACTATTCCAAGAGAAGGACCCACTGATGGAAGATGTTCAGGTTTTAACATTAAGAGATAACACCAGTATTGTCTCCTCTTATGTTTTATTTAGATTTCGACACAGTCCCAACTGCTGGTACCTGAGAGACTGGACCATCCACACCTGGATTCGACAGTGTCTGAAATACGGTGCACAAGACAAAGCCTTGTACACCCTTGTTAATAAGGTGAGGGTTTGCTGGCGTGCTTCCGGGGTGTATGTGACCTGCTGTTTGTACCTGTGATGGACCAAAGAGAAGTACCAGAAGCCACTTTCTTAAGCTGTCCTGAATTCAGACTCCTTCTCCCACTGTCTCCAGACTGGAGCAGTTATAAACTAACCAACGAGCTACAAAGCTCCTCTAGCTGCCTCTTCTCCAAACAGTGGTCAGGGAAGTACAGTTGAGAGTGGGGTGGAGTCCAGTCAGAACCCTGCACACTGGTCACTCCATTTCCATCCTTCAGCCTGGGATCTCTTGCCTGCTTCCCTTTCATAGATCTGGGTGAGTGCTGACCATTTTTGATGGAGTGTAATCTCTAGTTTGTTCAGACTACCTTATACTTTTTAAGAAGATGATAATTCCTCCTTTCTCCTAAGCTCCCTGGCTTTTCCTTCCCACAAGCCCCAGAGTTCCCAGAATTAAGGTCTTTCTGATGTTACATTCCTCCCAGCACTCTAGTCTGCATTGACTTCACGGCATGAAAGTATATGCAAAATAAGCATGAGTCGTAGAGTGTTGCTATTGCCAGAGTCAACCTAAACACCCTTTCAGCCATTAAAGAATTTTGACAGGGCTAGAGAGATACCTTAGTGTTTAAGAGCACTGGCTGTTCTTCCAGAGGACTCAGGTTCAATTCCCAGCATTCACATGGCAGCTCACAACTGTCTGTAACTTCAGTTCTAAGGGATTTGATACCCTCACACAGACATACATGCAGGCAAAACACCAGTGCACAAAAAATAAAAATAAACTAGTAGCTTTAAATTGAAAACAAACCATGAATTTTTAAGCTGAGTGCTGGTGACTTAGACCTTTAATCTCAGCACTCGGGAGGCAGAGGCGGGCTGATCTCTGTTCGAGTCCAGCCTGGTCTATAAATCGAGTTCCAGAACAGCCAGGACTGTTACATAGAGAATATTTAACATTATTCTACACAGAAAAATATTGTTAAAGAATTTTAATTCAAAATTTAACAATATTTTATGAAATAAAATAGTATCACCAGACCTTGAAAATTAGAGTTAAAAGGGAAGACTGATTTTATGTTTGACTCTTCTCTGTGAAAAAATGATTTTCATCTGTAACTTAGGCTCAAATCAAACCAACATATGCTCTACACATTATTTGTGTGAGGTGATGAATTAAGTAGATGAAGACAGAAGTGACCGGTATCTCTTCCTTATTTTGTGGAAATAAAGCAGCTCTCCCCTTTCCCTGGTAAACCTCATGTTGGAGGGTTCTAAGTGCCCTGCAAGAGGAATCCAGAGGATGCACACGGAGCAGCATGTGCTGCCCTTTTGCCTACAGTGACGGCAGGGGACTGAGTCAGAGGGGAGACTCAGCTGGATCCTAGACAGACAGTCACGGTTCGGGCTTCCGTCTCGAGAAAGAACGGACAGCCCTGGGGGAAGGAAGAGATGAAATCTTGTTCTCTTCATTCCAGAAGTTATACTTAGAGAGGAAGATCCCTGAGGAAACAGCTCTAGAAAGGCCTAGAAAAGTAGAGCAAAGGTTCTTTTCTGTCGCTTCCAGACCTTTAAAAGGGAAGTCACTGGGTGAGGAGTCAGAAGACCCAGCCCATAATCCCTTAGGTTCCGTCAGCTGCCTGGAGCGTCGGCCAGATAATTTTTTTCCTTTTGTGTCCTGGTCTTCTCAACTCCAACTTGAGTGAGTTGTATCAGTGAGTGACAACCTGAGCTGCCCATTAGAGTCACCCAAGGTTTTTAGAAGCTTCCATGTGGAGAGATAGCTGAGTCACTGTGCTCACCATAGGAGCATGATATTTTGAGTTTGGATCCCATGTAAAAAGTTGGGCAGGGCAGCCCATGCCTGTGTGTACGTGTACACACACACACACCTCATACAAAAATAATAAACATTACAAATACTTGTATTTACCCCTAATATTCTAGTTTACTTGGCCTTTCTGGGCCTCTCTTGGTCTTTGGGCTTCAAAGCATCACTGAGTGGAAAGCATAAAGATTCTCACACATCTGTCCCAGCACACACACCGCCTTCCCTAACCAGCATCCTGCTCCTGGAATGGGACATCTGCTGGTACTAATGCACTCAGAGTGGAGGACACAGCATTAGCCCCCAGAGCCAACAGTTTACACGAGGGTTCCTTCTGATGTTGTGCATCCTGTGCGTGTGGATGAGATGATGTGAGTCGAGCAGAAGTATTCACTGTGATCTGCCTTTTCAGCCTTCTTAGGGACTCTACTTTAGGTTTCACCTGACCCATGGTCAAAGTTGAGAAACCTGGACTGACTGATTTCTTTTCCTTTGTTCTACAAACTTGACCCTGTACCCCAGATTGAATCTTGCTATGTAACCCAAATTGCCCCAGAACCCACCTCAGTTCTGCCTCAGCCTTTGAGGGATTATAGGTGTGAGGCACTACACTTGGCTTGAATCAGTTGATTTCAAAGGTCCTTTCTAGCTTTAATGAATTACCATTCTAAAGTGTTTTGGCTTTAGCCTGCCTTGGACTCATGCTGATGTGGGTGAGTTCTCTGAGAATCAAGGCCCCGACCCTGAGTTGCAGGCTTCCTGGCAGTGTTCCATGTCAAAACACCTAAGGCATCCAGTGCTGCTGCCATGAGTCAGTTGGGGTGATTCACAGCCAAGGCTTAGGAACCTCCCAAGGGAGTAGGTGGGGCAGGAGGGGTTCCCCAGGTGTTTCTGGTAGTTGGCGATGCTATGGAACAGGGAGGTTAGATCCTATTGAAGTAAGAATTGGGGGTGAAACTGTAACTGTGATCTAGGCAGTCAGGAGTCAGTCTCGGGTGTATATGAAATCACAGAAGCCTGCTAAAACTTCAGGGTTCCATCCCAGATATGATGCTGTGGGCCTGAGATGATGCTTCAGGATCTGAATTGTTACTGTGCTCCTACCAAACCCTGAAGCTGACACTGAAGCATCTTTATTTATTCCTAAAATATTATTCCTAAATTCTGACATCTTAAAAATGCAGGTTAGCAGAATCCAAGGAGCTTGGTGTATAACAAAGTGTTGGCATATTTCTTGGGTATTTAGAAGTTCAAGCCGGACCATATGCTGTATAATTCCTGCTTTTTTCTTATGGTCTGCTTTTGCATTTTCATTTATACCTTGTGAAAAGAATCACTGGACCAGCCCTGTGTGGAGGAAGGGGATGGGCTCTTGTTGCTGCTGCTGTTTTTAGCTCTGACGAGCTGTTAGAACGGAGTCCTATTTTCACCTGTCTTGTGTCATCTGTGAGACACCCACTTACAACGTTCTCACCCTGACCAACAGTTCCAATTCCCACACCTCATGAGTCACAGCTTCCGTCTCACTGTCACAATGCTGTAGAATGGCAGTCACATACCTTAACTCCAGGGCCAGGTTTTACCCTGCAGAGTATATAGGCATATATTACAGACTGAATGAGAGAGGGCTTGTGTTTTTATCTTTCTCCATTTTCATTTTTATTACAGGTTCAGTATGGAATTTTTCCAGATAACTTTACATTCAATTTACTGATGGATTATTTCATAAAGAAAGAAAATTACAAAGGTAAGAAACCAAATCACCATTCAGTTAATACAGGGCTTTCAGCTCCCAAGTGGAAGAGTCCAAATGCAGACAGCTTCCTCCTTCTTCATTTCTTAATTACATCTCTTTACCTTACTCTTTTAGTGAGAAAGGTTTACATGAAGAAGGAGAAAATTTTACATGAAGATTATTATCATTATGCAGAAAATTTCAAGTATCACTCTTCTATTGCTGGGATAGAAAATATCGAAGCATATAAGTGATTATTGAGGAAAATTAATTATATGGGCAATCTGACTTCACTTCCCAAGCTGGTTGAAATGCAGAATACAGAGACTAAAGTAGCAGTGGATTTAGTTTTCATGTGTAATTTTGGAATCTGTAATGAAGAGTTGGCAGGGTTAGATGTACACACTAAAGGCCAGTGAAATGGCTTCAGTGGGTAGAGGCGCCTGCTGCCAAGTCCAAGGACCTAAGTCAGAGAACTGGAGTCCACGTGGGAGAGGGGGGCTGCCTCCACAGGATGTCCTCTGACCTCCACACGCACACATGCACATGCAATAAATCAATAATGAGTATGTGATTTCAGGAGGGAGGAAAGGGGGGCTTAGAGCTGGAGAGTGGGCTCAGCATGTCAGAGCACTGGTTGCTCTTATGTAGGATGCAGTTTAGTTCCCCATACCACATGGCAGCCAACAACCATCTGTCACTCCACCTCCAGAGGACCTGCCGTCCTCTTCTTGCCTTCTTAGGCACTACAGATGTAGTGCACAGACATACATGTGGCCAACACCCATATACATGAAGTTAAAAATAAATAAATCTTAACAGCAACGAAAGAGGCTTTAATCCTTGTGGTCTTTGGAAATATTGAGTGCTTATTTAAAAGAAAATCTCACCCAGCATGGTGGTGGTGCACACCTTTAGTCCTAGCACTTGGGAAGCAGAAGCCGGCCCATCTCTGTGAGTTCAAGTCCGGCCTGTCTACATAGTGAGTTTCAGACTCCCCAATGCTACATAATGAGACCGAGTCTCAAAAAAAGAGAAGAAAATCTCTTCCAGGTCCTTATTTTGCTAGATTTACTAGATGCTTTACTGGTCTGTCTGTCTGTCTGTCTCAGTTTTCCCATTTGCAAAAAGGGCAAAAAATTGATGCCTGTTAGCCTCCCGAAAAACCATCACAGCATTTGCAAAACCGGCCAGGAACAGCTGCACATCATGCTGACTCTTGTGTAACTGTGAGTGTGTACAGTGAGCAGAGGAGCATACACACTCAGTTGGAAGCATTTGTTGTGCTTGTGACGTGCAAGCATTGTTTCACTGTTAACACTGACATTCTCTACCTTGAGCACAAGTTACTGAGGGAAAAAAATTGTTTGAACTTGGCTTTATTGGCTTTTGTCTGTGCTGTAGAATATCATGGGAAAATAGGAGTCATCCAGGGCCTGTTCTTCTATGACCGGCATTTATGTAGAAATAAATAGCATACGTGTATGTTATACTCAGGGCTTTATAATTTATGAAGGACCATTTTCCTCTGCCTTCTTTCAAGTCTTTTAAACTGATCTCTATTATCCCTGTTTCCATCTGAAATAATTCCCGGGATCTGGGAGGTCCTCTAGCCTTTGTCTGTGTTGCCTCAACAGTGAGAAAGCTTCATAACAGAGAGAAGCAGGCAGCCTGCTTGCTTGTCAGGGTGACCTTGACGGTGGTGTGCCTCTTTCCCCATGCCTTACTCTTCTGGCTGTTGGACACTGTGTGAGGCATTCATTATCTTGTTGAAGTAAATAGAGCAGGCAGCATTTGATCATTGGGAAGATACTGCTCACGGGGACACGCAGTGCTTTGGCGCATGTCTGAAGTCATGGATACAAAAGCCCTGATTGAGTGTGCACACACAGTGTGTGCAGGAGATGTGTGTGGCTTGGAAAGGACCTGCTTCCTAGAAAAACCAGGACCAAAGCCCGTGTTTCCTTCTTCTTAACTCTGCTTATTTTCCCATTGCACTGCACTTCGCAAGAGTGTTTATGTTTAGGGATATGATGATGTTACCTACAACTGATTTCCTCTCGTTCTTACCTTCATCTTCTTCCAGATGCTTTAGCTGTGGTTTTTGAGATCATGATGCAAGAAGCCTTTGAAGTGCCGTCCACCCAGCTTCTCTCCCTCTATGTCTTATACCATTGCCTGGCAGAGAAGACAGACCTCACAGTAAGTGATGTGCACTAACGCAGAGCTGAGAGCTCGAGGCAGATCGAGCATCGGCTGCCGGCGTAGGTGGAAGAGGGCAGAGGAAGCCTTGCTCTCCGAATCTGAAGAGAAAAGGCTGTGTGCAGCCAGAAATGAACGTTCATTCGGTGTGTTGGTGTGTTTTGATAAGGGCAACTGGGGGAGAGGAGGTTAACCCAGGGCCCCTTGTATGCTGGGTAAGCATTTTACTACTGAGCTACAACCCTAGCCCCTTGTGGGCAATATGAAACTTGAGCCAAGTCAAGTGAGCTCAGACATTCTGCAGTGAGTCATGGATCGTCGCTGACAGCCAGACATGGCAGGCTGAAGAAGCAGGTGGGCAGCCAGTTTTGACCGTGAGCTAGTGTGGTTAATACTGACTGTCTTGTTTGTGTCAGAGTTTTCCTACAGTTGCTCCACACCAGTTGTGTTCCAGAATGTGCAGCATGCCAAGCTTTGGCTTCAGCGCTTGAGTGGGATATTTACTTACGGTTTACTGTTAGCCTAAGGAACCAGTGGTGAGAACAGCAGAAACTGATACTAAACGGCACTTGCTCTGTACTGTACTCTGTTCTTGGCTCTTAGATGTATTGATGTCTTTAATCTTCACAGGGAGACTGAGGCATGGAGGTAGTACAGAATAACCGTGGCACCGGTAGATGATGCCAGGCATTGTGGTCCTGTGTTCTACCCTTATTCAGTAGCAGATCAGAAAACCTCCGTTTGGATAGGAGCGGAAATGTCCTCCAGTCCAGCGCTCATTCCACAGACCTGAAATGTTCTGTTTTACTGAGTGTCATGACCTGTGGTATAGCTTATAGTCACAATTAAGTTATTAAGTATATATTGAACCTCCTTTTTAATCAGTCGCCAATTACTACAGACTTAGCAGTTAAACAGACCTTTTCTGCTTGTCGCCTAGCACTTTAAAACAAACGAGGGCCTAGGGAGATGGCTCAGTGCTTAAGAGCGCCTATTGCACTTGCAGGGGAACTGGGTTCGGATCCCAGCACCCACGTGGTGCCTCACAGCCATCTAAAACTGAGTTCCAGAGGACCCGCTACCCCGTTTAACCTCCACAGACCCCAGGCATGCACATGTGCACATACACACACGTGTATGTGCAAAACAAGCATGCAGTTACAAAATTAGGACCTAATGAGTACTACACAAGAGAAGTCAATGAAAAGCCCTCCTTGAAGAGTTTTCCTTGTTCTTTAAACTGGAATTGGTTAGAAAGGGAAAATACCTAAGGAGGGATTTACAAGGCTATTATGTGAAAGATGAATCATTGTTAGCTAGTTAAAGAGGAAATGCATATGCCAAACTGGCAGGAAAGAACACGGTAAGCGAAAAGGTGCTAACGGAAGCTGGGCACAGTGGTACATGTCCATAACCCCTGCTCCTGCAGAGACTAAAACAGGAGGATTGCTTGAGTGCCCAGAACTGGAGACTCAGTGTTACCTGGGCAACGTAGTGAAGACCCAGTTGGGGTTGGGGGAATAGGCTGGAGGAAGACGGGCCACGTCACGTGTGCTTACCGGGCAGGGGAATACCATGATCGTGATGGTTGATGTCCCAACAACCAAGAGGATGTCAGGGGCATGGGCTGTGAGTGAGCTCAGACTAGGCCATTTTGCTGTCATCCAGAAATAGTGAGGCGTTTTCTAGTTTTAAACAGGAGAGTGTTATAATCAGATTTGTGCTTTGAAGCCGTCCCTCAGTTGGAAGGTGGGGCGGGTCAGAGCAGGGGAGGGGTCGCTGTAGACAGACTAGTTTAGAGATTTAGGGAGTTTGAGAGGAGCTGATGATAGAGGAGCAGCCACTATGAGGTGGAACCAGAGTGCCCACTCAATACTTGGGGACGTAAATATCAGGTGAGGAGGAGCCAGATACAGATGTGCGGATCAGATGTCAGGTCCTCGGTTTCCAACTCACCTGGACGAAAAAGGGATGTATACTTGCAAAAGGAACTCTGGGGAAAAGATAGTTTTGTAAGGAAACAGTTAATTTGGCTCTGGCCATGTTGCATACTTGGGATACTTTGAAGCAGTCCAAAGATTTCTCAGTTGAACTTCTGACACTTTTGGAGCTTTACATCTGTATGTAAATGTGTGCAAATGATCTCGAGAGAAAAGCAAATGGAAATCAATGTCATATACATAACAGATGTCAGCATACATATGTCAAACACATACACACAAATTTGTGTCAGTCACAAATTAAGGAGGAAATTTGGAGTGTGTTGGACCACACAAACCATGGAAAGAATGGCCTAGGAGAAAGGGTAGATAAGATGGGAATAACGCAGGGTCATTGAATTTACTGACATCAGAGCAGTAAGTGGTCCATTTTATCTCCATAGAGAAACAGCAGGGAGCCAGATTAGGATGGATTAGCGGGGGATTGAGAAGTGTACAGAAGAGATAGCAAGTAGAGGTGACTTGGGGTGTCTAGTTTGTGAAGAGAAGTGGGGGAGGAGGAGAGAAGATGAAGGCATAGCATAAAATGGGCCAACCTCGCTGAAGTGGCTCCTGGCAGTCCACACTACCGGTAGAGGATGCTCTAAAGTGCTTGGGACCAAAGTGTTTTGGAGTTCAGATTTGTTTAAACTGTGGAATGTTTGCAGTGAGATACATTGGAGGCAGAACCAAATCTTCATCCATGTTTTATGTATACTTTAGACACTTACCCTAAAGGTGATATTTATGCATTATGTTTAATTTGCATATGAAATGTGTCATGTAATGTGACATTTTCTGCTTTCAGAGTTCAATGAGTTCTAAAGCTTGGAATATTTTGGGTTTTCAGATTAGGGATGCTCAACTCATGTCATCTCAGACCCTGCCAACAAACTCTACTGGTCCCAGCATGTCACAGATAGCTATTGCTTGTATATTTGCCGGCCATTCAGCTTCCAGTTCCTGTTCTAATCCTGATACTGTGGCTCATCTTTTCTGCACAGAAAAAAAAAAAAAAAAAAAAGTTTCAGACAGTGAGATGGTCCAGTGGGTGGGTGCTTACCATCAAACCTGATGACCTGGTTGATCCCTAGAATCCACATGGTGCAAGGATCGAACTGACTCATACATGTTGTCGTCCCATCCCCCGCTCCATACAGGCATGTGCTCACATATATACATAGACATACTAAAACAAATAAGTATTTGAAGCCAGCCTGGTCTACAGGAGCAAGTTCCAGGCTAGCCAGGACTACATAGTGAAACTTCTCAAAAACAAAATTCAATTGAAAAGTAAGTATAAGAAAAGGCTTCTTAAGGACTGAGGAATCTGAAGGCAGACATCCACGGCTGGACCCCTGGTGGAGCACTGGGAGTCTAATTAGTGAGTAAGAAGAGGATTTATATGAGCGAGAATTGTTGAAGCCAAGGTTGGATAAAGCACCGGGACAAATAACCAAAT